TCCACGCAGAAAGATTCCGGTGCCCCCACCGGGACGCGAACCGGCAACTTTCTTGCTGCGAGGCAACAGTGCTACCAACTGCGCCACCTTGCAGCCCTAAACGACAACCAAAATAGCATTTAAAAACTCCATAGGTTAAAAAAAAAAAAGACATCAAACTTGTAAGAGCAACAAAATAAAAGCGTGCATTTGCATGTGTTCAGACTTTTCCTGTGGACATCCGGTTGTCCATCTGTGGTGGGACAGAAGAACCACACTTGACATTAAATTAACAGTACAAACGTTAAGCTTTTTTAACTGCTTACTGTGATTTTACAGATTTTCCTGTTTTGTCAAATCACTGACGATTACTGGTGTATTCTGGCACCCTTGTGTTGTTGTTGGACTTGATTAATTTGAATGAAACCTTTATCTCTGTGTTAAAGATGCACGTTTCTCAGCAGGCTAATATTAAAAAACAGCCACAAAACATGGAGCCACCAAGTTACTGTTGGAGTCCTGCAATTTGGGCCGTCGGTGTCAAAAGGTCTGTTCATGTCACACAGTTCTTTCTATAATTACCTGCTCAAAATAAAGCTGGAATTTGTTTCTATTGATCTTTAATGATGAACACAAACCTTCACACCTACACAAAGCTGTAACAAACTTACATAAACTGCTCAGAGAAAGTCATATGACAAGAGGAACGGCTTCTTTTCTGGGCAGTAAATCAAAGCTTTAAAATGACACTTGTTATTTTTTTTAAAGAGTGATTAAAAGACGGGAGGTTTTCCAGGAATGAAGAGGAGTTCAGTCCGACTCCTCCTTGTTCTACTTAAACCTGACCAACCTGAGGTCAAGCAGCTGAACACTTGAAGTCTTTTTCTTGTAAATAAAGTCGTGATTCGAGTGAATGCCGCTCATCTGTCACATAGCGTTCCTGTGACTGATCCTCCCGTATGAATCACGCCAATAACGCAGCTGTGATTTCTCAATATGAGAATCCTCCCAGCAGCAACACCGACTTCCTAAAACCCGCCGTTCATTCCTGACTTTCATCACAAAGACTTGATGTAATCACCTTAATGCTGCTCAGGAAGTTTCCTGTCAGACTCTTTTCACTCAGTTCACCTCAGAAACAAGTCTTTGTATGTGGATGTGCATAAACACTGTCTAACAGCTGAATTTGCTGTGTGTTAAATATATTATGTCTTCGTAATCTGCTCAGTTTTTGGCTCTTTTGGGTTCAATTTCAGAACAAAATTAGATTTTCAAACAACACCTGACTGTGTTTAAGTATGTATCGTGCCTTTCTATTAAGGTGTTGTTAAGTTTGCCACTTTGGTCTAACATTTGTTGAAATATCTTGACAAACACTGGAAAGATTGTCATAAAATTTGGCACACGTACTCATCGTCCCCACAGGATGAATCGTCATGACTTTGGTGATTATCTGACTTTTCCTCTTGTGTCACCAGGAGATCAGACTCTTAGCTATCCAGTGACAGATTTCACCCATGTACCTGATGGACTGCCATAAAAAAACTGGTGTAAATATTCACATATTTATTGTACTGAGTTCGGTGATCCTCAGATTTTTTTTATGCTGGAATGGACAGCCAGGAAATGTGGTGCAACTTGGTAATCCTTGACTTGTCGACTGTCCAAAACAGGACCAAAAAGCTGCAAAACTAAAAGCTCCCAATAAAGTTTAGCTGCGTTATATTCAGTGCTAATTAGCAATGATGTTGTCCTGCGTTTTTCTGAAATACATCCAGCATCAACATGAAGAGTCAGATTTTTCTGCCCTTTTCCAACTAAGGACCGAGTAAAAGAAAGCTTTTTTGGAGGAACATTTTCTTACAAATTGGTACAAACAGTTCTTACTGATCAAAGACGACTGAGGCTGTAAATGCACGGGGGTTTCCACGCTCAGTTCTTGCAACAACAACAACAAAAATCCTCTTTTTTTTTTTCTCTCGGGTACCTCAGTGAGCGTGTCCGGAGGGATGCCGTCCACGTGAAGCGTCGAGGTGTCGCCACTCATTTTCAGCTTCTTGGAAATCTGAACGCTCTTGTTGCTGTTTGCCTCAATGTTGCTCATCTGGACAGAAGAGATTAAAGGGTCAGTTCACTCAAATTGGAAATCTGAATTTTGTTGTTTGTGTTTTTTTTTACTTCATTAGTTTTGCATTTGATAAGAGGAACAAGACAACACATGAAGACAAAGCTAGTACAAACAAAATATAAATATTAACGTGTCTTTTGTGGGTTTGTTCCAGATATGTGGTGCAAAGAAACTGAAATCTGTTCATCCAAGTTTAGTTTGGACGGTGAGTGGACGAATCCCAGACAATCTGAGCGGTCTGGACGTCTCATATTTACAGTACAGTTAATGAAAATTGTCATCCAAAACCACACATACCAACATCATGCTGTAGCTGGAGATAAAAATCCACAAAGTTCATCCTCTGAGACCATGAATGTGGATGATATTTTACACGATGCAGAGGAGAACATTTTATTTGCTGAACCTCAAATTAAGAAAGCACGATATAGATCGTGTATCTCCTGGAAGAAATTTCCACACCAAAAACCATGTTTGAAGCGTAGCATTAAAGTGCTAGCAGTGTTAGCACTGTAGCTCAGGTGGTGCGATATTAAACGCTGTGACGTTAGCTACAGCCTAGCTTAACCCTAACCCTAAAGTGAGAAATGGCTGAAAAACCTAATTGTCCTACTGACAAATACATATTTGAGGATGCAACTACCAGAAACATCTTCTGAGTTAAGGTGGCAATCAACTGCTAGCAATGTTAGCCATGTAGCTAATGTCTTTCAAGCTCTACTGGGAGTTTTAGCGACATAAATAATGTGACAGCTGACATGAAATATGTTTTCCTGTGATTAAAAGTTAAACAGAACTTTATTTACAAGTGATTTAATCAGATACAAATGCTTATAAACGGCAAATAACTATAAGTTTCACTTCTGGTAAAGTTCAAAGCAGCCATCTTGGATTCTGAGTGTTGATGAGGTTCTTCCAACTTTCTGAAATCTAACAATTGTTTTCTTGTCGGATACCAGTTAATATTCAGACTGGAAGCCTGGAAATTCTGACTTTCAAATCCATCAGGACGTTAGCATGTTGCCAACAATGCTAATTTAATGCTACTTTCTCTTGACTGGTTGAACTATAAAGGTAGAACGATGCAGCGTTTGCTAAGTTTCCCACGAAGGGACGACTACAGGCAGAATCAGTTTTATTTCATGATGGTCATACGCAGTTAAAGGTGGTTTGAAGTTCACAAAAAGGAAGATGCAGCGACACACGAAAGAGGAACAAAGTCTTCTTTCACTTCCACCAGCTGATCCAGAGATAATTAATCAAACAGGTCCAAATAAACAAATACACAGACGTTACACAGGTGTGATATTTAGGTTTTACCACATAAAGACTCAACACACCTGTGAGGCCGGAGAACAGCCACCGTCCTCACCTGGGTTCACTACATAAAGGAAACTATGAAGCTTTCTGTCAGCGAGGACGGCGGCTTCCACTTTCAGGATGAGTTAAAAATATCTGAAATCACAAGAGCGAGTTTTGTGTTTTCAAAAAAACAGAAACAGCTGATTTAACTGTTTTTCTCCTCTTTAAGTGAGAGTATTGATCATGCGGCAGACATACAGTTTGAGCGTCTGGATTACTTAATTTAATTTTTTCTTGTGCAACCATTTGGGCTTTTTTTTTTTTTTTTTTACACATTTCAGTGCAGATATAGTTGTTATTCTGCCCACCTGTGGACTGGATTTGCTCTTTTTGCTCTGTTTTTGGTCTCCACCACCAAAAACATCAGCAATATTCAGATTTTATGAGGTAAGATGGTGCAGAGTGTTGTGAATTTTAGCGTTCCTTTAGCTCAAACTCATCTTTAAAGTTTTAAAGGTGATCAAAGATGTTCAAGAATAACCGTTTCATATCCCGGCTGTCGACAACATCCTTTTAATGACTTCTAATTCATATTTCTATATTACCAACACAGTTCAGGAAATCAGTTTTGCAGCTTTCTGCTTCTTGTTTTGGCCACATTCTTGTATTTCAAAGTGAATCTGAGATCTTCTTTACATTCCCTACATTTTATCAGCTTAATGTGAAGCAATAAGTCGAATTCAACTGGCAGCAATTTGCATCTTTTAGCTTCTTGTTTCGGTTTTGGTTCTGGCCTGTTTTTCAGTGACTTTAGTATTTTAAATTCCATCTCAAGCCTTGTTTAGAATCTCGTTTCTACTTTCCTACATTTATTCAGTTTAATATGACATACAGCTGCTTGGGAACCAGTACGGCAGAAAGAAAGTAGCGCTCTGGACTGGATTAGTTCCTTTTGCTCTGTTTTTGGTCTCCACCACCCACCAAACATTCAGATTATATGAGGTAAGATGATGAATTTTAGTGTTTTAACTCTGTTAAAGCTGAGTAAGGAAGCTTTTTTTCTAAGGAGCATTTTTAATTTGTCAATTAACAAGCTGTTTGTGGTTATAATTTCCTTCACTTGAATTGCTTGTTTTTTCTTAAAAGATGTTAAATCCGGCAGCTTGAAGCCACCTGTAGTCATTTAACGCCACTGTTTGATTTTTTTGCTCTTTAAACATGAAAAATCTAAGTTTGCCTCTTATTTGTTGGCTGGTCCTGTAAATCAGCAGGGAGTGTTTCATCGGTGGGTCTTGATGTTGGATTTAGGCTTCAGGTTTACGATAAATTCCGACTGTAACTTCCTGTAAACTGCTGCTCAGGTCAGTACAACCCTAAAACAAGTCCCCTGAAGACGCTGAGGCCTCGGAGGTTCAGGTCACATCACAGGATCCAGGCCTGACCTGCTGATGCTGCTGCAGCACTCGGTGTTCCTTCACCTGATGAAGAATGTGGAGGCTGAGCCACGCCTCACCACTCCTGGTCCCTGACACAACACTTGTTTGGGTTCATTTGAGCTCAGCTTAACAAAACCTGCCTGCGTTACCACCCGGACAGTCCATCCTGCTGTTAATCTGCCACCTGGAACTACATTTTAAAGGCTTCTTAGACAAACTTGAGCCTCGTGTTGTCTCTGGTTCCTGCCCTGAGCTGCCTGAAGGCGACAGAAAACAAACCAAACCAGTCGAGTCACCGGCTGAACAGAGATCTTGAGATGTTCACACCGTGACATGCCAACTTCTACATGCTGTAAAACAGCCTCAGATGGAAACGCAGATTAAAGCTGCTCTGATGAGCTGAAACTTGTAGAAACACAATAAAACCCTGACTTGTTCTCTCAAAACAGCTCATCAGATGTGGGAAATCAGTGAAGAAACTCACCTTTGCGTCCTGCGCTGCGTTGCTCCAACTGACAGTAAACTTCCTCAATGAATGAGCCTCCGTCAGATTCCTCCCACCGCGCGAGTGGCGCAACGCGGAGACGCTGCGTGTTCCTCCTCTCGTGGATGAGTTTTACGCGCGGCGGCACGAAGCCCAAACAGGCGAGTTCACGTCAAAAAGCGGCACCGACGACCTGCAGCCGAAGTTTGCCGAACGAAACCGGGTGTTTCATCCAAAACCAACGTGAAGCGGAGCTGCGTCTGTTTGCGGGTGTTTCTGCGCGTAAATGCTCACTTGCGCAATTCTGTGACGTATTAAAAAGTGAAATTTAAGACCTTTTCATCGTCACACAGATTAAAATCCAGAACTACACCTGCCAAAGATCAATGGGAAAACAGTGAGAGAGAATTATTTAGTAAGTACAAAAACATTTATAAAACTACAGAGAAACCACCAACAGTTTGACTTGTTGAAATCTTTTTATCTAATTTTTAAAAATGTTTTCTATTCTTAGAATATCTGGTGCAGCAGGTTCAATGCACATAAGATTTATTTAAATATTTTTAAATAGTGTTTTTTCCCCTTACACTGTAATAATAATAATAATAATAATAATAATAATAATAAATAAGAAAAAAAATAAGAAAAACAAAGGCAGGAAAAGTGCCCAAAGTTAAAAACAGTTGAATATTGCAGCATTCAAATCCCCCCCCCCCCCAAAAAAAAAAAAACCTAATGCAAAAATATCCATAAAATACAGATTTTATATTATATTATTATTTGCTTATTAAATACTGTAAAACTGTGATTTTATGGTTACACACTTTTTTGTTTTAAACCATTTATTCTTATAACGGCTATAAAACATTTTTTTAGTCTGTATTTAAAGTCCAGGTTTGTGAAACAACCAATGATTTATAAAATATAAAAATAAAAGACTCTTCATGTTGAAATAGTTCAGTTTTGACTTGTCTTTTTGTATTTTTTTATGGCCAACATGTAAATAAATTCTTGTTTTCTGTGATTTTATTTGATATTATCTGTGGTTTAATAAAAACAGCAAATCTGTAAAATAACTGTCAAATAGAATTTAATATTTCTTTCTTTCACAAATATTTACAAAACAATTATTCTATATTTATATACAGTAAATAAAAGTGGAAGTTTATGGTCAGAAAATGTAAACTAATAATGTAACAACAAATTGCCATTTGCAAAAATTCTGATATTTACTTTTTTTTTTAACGGTTAACATGTAAATCAACACTATTTTCTGTGATTTTCCTGAATATTATCTGTAAATTAACAAAACTATATATAAAATCTATAAAAGTTTAGTGAATTGTGCCAAAAAAAAAGTTAAGTGTTAATTTTTTAGTGTCTTCGCTATTTGAATTTGAAAAATGAAAATGTTGACAAAGGCCTCGTTGTAAGAATGAGACGACTTCTCTCAAGATGTGATGTTGCATTTTTTCTTAATTGTATAGTAAGTGTTGTTTATGTATCTTGTATTATATTGTACATGTGTTGTGTGCTTTTTCTTTTCTCTTCTTCTTTTTTAAATTGTAGTTTTTCTGCCTGTTTCACATCCAACCAGGGGACTACAGATGAAAACTAGCCTTCTGGCTAATTCTGGCTTTTTTAACCATGTGTAATCATGTGTTTTATGAAATTGCGCTGTCCCCTTTTAAACAAACTAATCTAATCTAATCTAATCTAATCTAATCAGCAGCATCTCAGCATGTTGGAACAAGAGAGTTTTCGCTCCAGTCTGCTCAGAGGACTGTTTCTTCATCCGAACAGTTTCTTTCTCCTAAACTTTGGCCCCTTTGGTGCAACCGAACGTTGTGTCAGAGTCTTACAAAACAGCCGAACCTCACAGGAAACACAAACCTCAGGCCTGTTGTAGGAGATAAACAGTCAAACTTCAATCTGAAGTGCAGAAACAGAGGGTGTGAAGTAAAGAAAATGTCGAGAAACTACGACGTTTATCGCTGTGTTTTGGTCAAAGAGGGTGAAACCGAACGGAGCGCTCTGGATCAGGAGGACTGCTGCTGTTGGTGCTTTATTCTGATTTTGCATCTGAAGTAGAAACGTGGAAGCAGAACTGCATTTGTGATGAAATGCGGATGATTTTCAGGTTTCTGCTGTCCTGACACGTGCACAAAGCTGTTGTTTTATTGGCTTTTGAGACAAATTAAACCATCAGCAGCATCACTGACCTGCTGTTTAAGTGCTAATTAGCTATTTATCTGCTAGCGGTTACACTCTGAACTCCATTCATTCATTCATTCAGTGTTAGTTTGATGCAAAACTACCGTGAAGTCAGAAACATCAGTTCGTCTATTTGCATCACTCGGGAGTCGACAAGACAGAAGTTTTCAAAGCAGATGTTTTTGCTGCGACAGATGAAAAAAAAAGAAAAAAAAAAGTCATTTATTTTCAGTTTGAAAGCAAAACTACAGCAAAGGAAATGTTTCGATACACGAAGAGGTAGTCGGAAACATCGTCAACATAAGTGGCACCAAAAGAGTCCCCGTCGTCGGGTTTCAAGTGCGATTTGTGTTCGTATAAATATCCAGAATGTAACCTCAGGAAGAGGACGTCTTCTCTGGGCGTGGCGTTGCGTTTGACCTCTTTGGAGTTTGAGTTAAGGCTCCGGTTTCCAGGACTTCTGCCGCCGCTCTTCACCTCCGTCTTTGGCTCGGCTTGGCGGCTCGACGCTGTTTCCTGAAGTCGACGAGGCAGTCGGTGGCCTCCGAGATGGACGTGAAGGATCTGATGGGAGAGCTGCTGACCCTGAACGCTGAAGCCTCCCCTTCCTCGTCGTCGTCGTCGTCGTCCCGCAGGTCGATGACGTCTCTAAAAGGCGACAGAAACACGGTTAGTTTGTCCTTGTCAAGCTGCTTCGTACTCAACTCCATCTATCTGACAGCAACAGCTCAGGATGTGATAATCCAGGTTCCACACATCTCTGAGCTGAATTTAAGGCTCAAACAGGTAGAAATGTGCAACGTTTCACAAAAAACAAACCCTAAAAACGTCCGATTCTAGAAAAATCTAAAGCGCTTTTCCTTCTTTCTTCTCCCACTCACGCTCTGAGGTTTGAAGGACAAGTGGTTTTTAGAAAAAGATACCATTTATCAGACAGAAACAGTAAAAACAGAAAGAATCGTCATGTTTTCTGACTTTCTAGCCGTCCTGGAACTAACCACGTGTGATTTGTTGTTTCATCAGACAAGTTGAACCAAATCTAAGCTTAAAACTGTATTAAAAAAATAAACTAAACTAACTGAATTAGTTTAAAAATGTGCCAAAAATAAAGAACTTGCTTTAACTAGAATCTGTACAAAACAAAAAACTCAGCGCTCTTCGCTACACCTGAGAGGCCTCGACTGACTCGGCTGTGACCAACAGTCGCTTCACTTTTCTGATGAACTGCAGAGAAGAGACAAAGCACGGAAACAAATTTTACAGCATCGATGACTCCTGTTGGCTCTTGAAAAATGTTGGTCATCCAGTTTTAAAATAATAACAAAAAATTAGAATAAATTTTGTAACATAAGCGCAGAAATGCAACTTTCATTGTTTTCTTTTTTAGAGAAAATGTGACGCAGAACAGCCACAAAACAGTCAAATGTGACAGAAAAAGACATAAAACAACTAAAATGTGGCACAAATAGAAGTGAAACCACCAAAATACGACACCAAATCGAAAAAATGTGATGCAAAATGAAAACAAAAAGACATAAAACATGCAAAATGTGACACAAAACAAAAACAATAAGATGGAAAATAACCTAAATGTGACGCAAAATGGCCTCAGAAGACACGAAACTATAAAAAAAGTGACACAAAATGATGTGAAACAACCAAAATTAGACACAAGATGACGTGAGACAAACCAAAAGTGAAGCAAAATTAGCACAGCGTGATGCGAAATGCCGACAAACATGTTGTTGTGAAGACGTCTTACCCTGGTGGAGGTTTGGATCCAGACGGGCCGGCATCTGTGAAAACATAACATGTCTTTAAAAAAAAAAGAATTTCTGACTTCACATCCGGTTGTTGATGATCACATGGTGAAAACATAAACTGTGAACCAGTTTTGAGGATGTTTGAGCTCCACAGGAGGTCTTTGGTCTGTAAAGGCTCAAACTGACTTTTTGTGACACTTTCCTTCTTTCGGGGTTCAAACTGAGCCCATCGCTGAAGAGTCGGATTTGTTTGTGCACTGGACTCTCAGGGACTCTTTGATAGTTAATTAATTGCAGCTTTGCACCGTCAGACCTCGTTTCTGCTGCCACCGTTCCTGTAATATTGTTTTGTTTCAGTCGCTGGGGAAAAAAAAGAAAATAGGGAACGCTTCACGAATTTGCGTGTCATCCTTTCGCAGGGGCCATGCTAGTCTTCTCTGTATCGATTCCCATTTATCGTATGTGCTGCCTGAGCGAGCACATGGGCCCTGAGGCAGGAGCCAACATTTAGCTCCCTGCTGGTGGAAGCGCCTCCTGGCAGCGGTGCAGACTGCAGGGCTGCCATCCCCGCTAGTCGGCACAGCTACAGGACGAACCTTTCAGCGCTTCTGAACACGCGTCCGAACAGAAAAACACGTCAAAGTGATTTCAGATTCCACCTGAGCGTCTTTACGGAGCGCGACTCAGCGTCTGATAAAGTCCTACATGAATGAAAGTGTCTCTGAAGCCTCAGCATACGTGAGCACAGAGAGCAGGAGAGCAGACGTGTGACGTGAAGTAACTGATACCAAAACAACATTTGGCCTGTTTTACTGGAGGCTCAGAGGTTTACAGTTTGTACAAGAAGCTCTGGTGAGTGAATACTGTGAGGAAGCTGCTCATTTGAAATTCAAGAGGGCGGGTCAGGTGACGAGTCGGAGGAGGAGCTCACTCTTCCTGTCTGGACGCCACACCTGGCAGTGATTGCTTGTTCAGCCTGCTGCCACCACAGAAGAAGTGAAGCTTATATTCCCCACAAGGAGGTTCTGCTGCAGTGGTTCAGTGAGGAGCAGAAGGTCGGCAGTTCGATCCCAGCCTTGGGCAAACGTAAGGACGAGCTCTGGTTCCAGCAGCGGCTGAAACACCATCAGGAGGAGGCAAATGATTTAAGTTGCAATTTACTACAGATATTAGAACGGTTCCGGTCAAATTTTACATCAAGCACTTTCTGAGATAAAAAAACAAACAAACAAACAAAAAAAAAACATCGCCTCAAACGTCAAAGTGGGAAAAAAACGTGCTGCAATCAAAAATTAAAAAACAAAACAAAAAAAAAAGCTAAAATTTCATGAATATTTTGAGAGAAATCCAGATTTTAAATTAAAAATTTCCAGCAAATCAGAGCAGAAATTGTTCTAAAAAGATCTCGAGATGCATGACAAAGAAAATCTAAAACATTGTGATGTCAGATTACTGGCTGACAGGTGAAGAGCCGTAACTCTCCGGCTCAGATGAAGAGTTCAGCAGCATGAACGATGTCTGCAGAAAACAACACCCAGCAGAGTCTGTATCGCTCATCAATAGTCATCAGGAAATGATCTGGTTAAAGTCTCGTAGATTAATCGTAGCAACTGGACTTGCTTGAGTTCCTTGAAGACGTTCCACCTCTCATCCAAGAGGCTCCATCAGTTCTGACTGATAGTTGGGAGTTCCAGATACTTACATCCTCCTACAGACACGATCTGGTTAAAGGGAGATGCTCTTTCCAGCCGATTTAAATCAGAAACTCTGAACACAACCTGCTCCCGACCAGGTTAGCTCCACAGCATCAGTTACCATGGAGACCGAGCAGGTTAAAAGACCTTCACAACACTGAAAACTCTGACTTGAAGCTCAACATACCTGATAACAGACTAATGTGGCTTCGTAGTTCAGCCCTCTGGTGACTGAATACAGACGGTGAGGAAGCTGCTCATTTGAAATTCCAGAGGGCGGATCAGCTGACGAGTCGGAGGAGGAGCTTGAACAGACGCTAGCTCTGACTGAGAGACGGTCTCTTCTCATACTTCTGTCTCTTCAGATTCAGTGGGGACGTATTTATGCTCAAAAACAATAAATAAAAAGGTGTGTTTTGCCGCTCAGAGAGGACAGGTGTCTGTGATTACTTGTGAAATGAGAGGTCCAGTAAATGAAGCCACTTTGAGTTACAGAGCATCGGTTCCATATTCACTCATTTATTCTGTCAGTTTGATTAAATGTTGGTGGAAAATGAATGCTTCCGACTGATTATTGTTTTTGTTTTAACCGGACTTTGTGAATAATTGTTTGATGGCAGGAGCTGATGTTTGAGGATTTACAGTTTGTAACCCGGCAACAACTAATTTACCAGCAGGACGTGTTTCACACACCGTCGGATGTTGTTTTCTGCAGACATCGTTCATGCTGCTGAACTCTTCAGCTCAGCCGCAGAGTTACGGCTCTTCACCTGCCAGCCAGTAATCTGACATCACAATGTTTTAGATTTACTTTCTCGTTCATCTCGAGAACTTTTTAGAACAATTTCTGCTCTGATTTGCTGAAAATTTTAATTTAGAATCTGGTTTTTTCTAAAAAATCTTCATGAAATTTTTGTCATTTCTTTTTTATTGCAGCACGTTTTTTTCCCACTTTGAAGTTTGAAGGTTTATTTTTTAATCTCAGAAAGTGCTTTTCGTAGTTTTGTTTTAAGGTGTTTCAGTCGCTGCTGGAACCAGACCTCGTCTTCACATTTGCCCAAGGTTGGGATCGAACCGGCGACCTTCTGCTCCTCACTGAAGCACTGCAGCATTTCACAAGTAACCACAGACACCCGTCCTCTCTGAGTGGCAAAATGCACCTTTTTATTCATTGTTTTTGAGCATAAATACGTCCCCACTGAATCTAAAGAGATAGAAGTATGAGAAAAGATCTAAGTAGTGTCTGAACAAACCATTCACATGTTCAAGCTCCTCCTCCGACTCGTCACCTGACCCGCCCTCTTGAATTTCAAATGAGCAGCTTCCTCACAGTATTCACTCACCAGAGCTTCTTGTGCAAACTGTAAACCTCTGAGCCTCCAGTAAAACAGGCCAAATGTTGTTTTGGTATCAGTTACTTCACGTCACACGTCTGCTCTCCTGCTCTCTGTGCTCACGTATGCTGGATTTGAATGCAGCCGGCCTCGCAATGAAGCTGCTCCCTTTCACATAATTTTTTTTGTTTTTTAGTTGTCAGACGGCAGAACGAGGACGAAACAGCGACTGAATCATTGAGACGCCACCAGATCTGAGCACCGACTGGAGCTGAGGCTTCAGAGACACTTTCATTCATGTAGGACTTTATCAGACGCTGAGTCGCGCTCCTTAGAGACGTTCAGGTGGAATCTGAAATCACTTTGACGTGTTTTTGTGTTCGGACGCGTGTTCAGAAGCGCTGAAAGGTTCGTCCTGTAGCTGTGCCGACTAGCGGGGATGGCAGCCCTGCAGTCTGCACCGCTGCCAGGAGGCGCTTCTACCTGCAGGGAGCTAAATGTTGGCTCCTGCCTCAGGGCCCATGTGCTCGCTCAGGCAGCACATACGATAAATGGGAATCGATACAGAGAAGACTAGCATGGCCCCTGCGAAAGGATGACACGCAAATTCGTGAAGCGTTCCCTATTTTCTTTTTTTTTTTTCCCCCAGCGACTGAAACAAAACAATATTACAGGAACGGTGGCAGCAGAAACGAGGTCTGACGGTGCAAAGCTGCAATTAATTAACTATCAAAGAGTCCCTGAGAGTGCGACTAAAACCTTCCCTGCTTCTCCTGAAAATATTTACTACAAGTGTCAGCACAAGCAAATCAGCGCAAAGACCTAAAACCCACCTCGACCTTTTGTCCGTTTTCCCAAAATAAAAAAATGAGTCGGTGATGTTTGGAAAGCCCCGTTCAACGTGTGCTTTAAGTAAAATCGCGTTTTATTTTCTCACAGATCATCGTTGGGAGAAAGCAGGTGAATCCCAGCGAGAGCTCAGCTTCAATAATCACAGTTCTGATAAAAACCACACGTACCTGAATCCCTGCTCTCTGTTTGCTCCAGGGCTGACAGCAGGTTTCCCTTCTGGAAATGTAGAAAAAGATGCTTTTATTTTTCAATATAATCAACAAAAAGTCTTTAAAAGTCTTGTAGAATCGACAACAACACTTAAAAATCCTTTACTGTCACTGTGTATTACTGCCCTGTCTGCTGTCTGTGGATCTTTCTGTTGTGTTAAAGTTGCTGTTGTGTTGTCGGCGTGTCTCACCGCTGCAGCTTTCGACGCCCGACGCTGAAAGCAGAGCTCGGTGTGTCGGCTGTAGTCTCTCAGAGGAACGTTTTTCTGACAGATGTAACACTTCTCCGGGTTCCTGTGGATCGAATTTAAAAAACAGAATCAGTAAAACATTTTTTAAAAGAGCTCTTCCGGTTATAGTCGGACGGCTCATGTCGACTCACCGTCCAGAGTTGGAGGGCTCGTTGGTCTCGTCGACAGTCGCCTCTGCTCGCCTCGTTCTTTTCCTTCGTGGCTTCAGCGACGCTATAAAGAGGAGAGGAGACCAAAGCACACGTTTAACCCCGAAATTCAATCGTACGTCTAAAGCTTCACGTCGAGAATGATGCTTTCTGAAGCACCTTTTTTCCATGACAGGGTTTTGCGGTGATCTTATTTCCAGTTTGACCTGATGGTTTGTGAGCATGTCAAACATCACGCAGGAATTTAGTGGAACTAGAGTTTATATGTAATATTTAAGGAATCTCAGCTTTTCTTGGATTTAATTGACGTTTTGTGTAATTTCACAAAACGAGGATTATCTGTAAAATAACAGCAATAAAATGATTCACCATCTTAAAATCCATAATACACAGAATTTTGTTTTATATAAATGTCTGCAAAATACTGATATTTGATGCTGATTTAAATAAAGTAAAAATAGTGTAAATTCAACTTTGATGTGGATTTACAGTTTTTAACAGGTTTTCTTTTACAAATGACACGTAAATTAATTCTTTCTTTGTGTGAATTTACTAGATATTATCTGCAATCTGACAAAACAGGAAAATTGAAATTGAAATAAAAGTTTAAAAAAATAATTTTCAGGACACAAGTTGTCCAACAGGACTCCAAATTGCCCAAAATTACTCAAAAATTGTCGTGAAGGACTCAAAATAATCCACCATAAACTCAAAACCGGCCCCAAATCAGCTGATGATCATTTTACACTCGCTCCAAAGCGACGACTCCAAACATGGTTTGTGCATGCGTTAGCTGAAGTTCACCTTGGGAACCTGCAGGCCTCCTCCGGTCCGCCGCCTCTCCGTCGCAGTACGCTGCGTGCATCTCAATCTGGCTGGCGGGGAAGGACGCCTGGCAGATCGGGCAGTCGACGGCGGTCTCTGGGCTGCGAGGGACGACAGCCAGTTCCAGCTCAGGAGACGCCGACCTCTGAAGACGACTTTCCATCACCTCCTCCACATCCAGATCCCCCCGGTCCTCCTTCACCTCCTCTGGTCCTGCGGCTGGTCCTGCGGGGTCGACGCCGCCGGCAGCCTTCTCCTCCGGCGGGGCTGAAAACAACCACATGAATCTGTGTCCAGCAACAACTTCCCATTTATAAAAAAAGTAAAATCTGGCTTTCCAAGTGTGTAACATTCTTTAGAAACATTCAGGAAGTGTTCTTGTTCCTTCTATGTGCGCTTGCCAGCTTTGCCGGTGTAAACATGAAATTACTGCTTTTTCTCATGATGTATTTCAGGCAATGACAAAAAGAAACCTGATTTATGTTCTTACCGTCCACCTCCATCTCTTCCTCCTCCTCCGGCGGCGGTGGCGGCGGCTCGTCAGCGGCCGGAGAATCTCCTCCGAGGATCATCTCGACGTCAGGAGACTCGCTTCTCTGAGGAGGCGGCTGTGGAGAAACCTTGAGGGGAAACGTTTCAGACTGAAACTGGAGGAAATTCTTTAAACACAACAGGAAGAGCTGGAAAAACCTGCAGCGTTCACTTGACATGAGGCCGTAAAACGACACTTCTCTGAGGAAAACTTCACCGTTTCCTGACACAGATTTCTAAACATTAAATGATAAACAATCGACGGTGAAAATATCTATTTATCTTATCTTAAATACAAACTTCTCATCTTGAATTTTTAATGAATTAAAATCAAATAATGTAGATTTGGTTTTCATATCATCAGCATCCGTTCAAGGATTATTAATTCACACGGCTGTTCATAAAACAGCCGTTTTGAAATGTCCAAACGCTCTTACTATGTTCACAAACACCACTTATAATCGTTTCTCAATGAGAATTTGAAAGGTGTTGATATCATCGGTGTGGTCAATTATTGTGGCCGATATCTGGCAGTTTTCAGATCATCAGGACTGTTATTGATCAGTTAAATGCACTACTTGGTCTCAGAAACGTCTCTCAAGCAGCAAAAACTGAACAAGAAACACGAACCAGGAAGTTAGCTCCTCTCATAGCGGCTAATGCTATGCTAACGGCTAGTGGCTAAGTTAGCAGGTGACCACAAATTAACCTGAAACAGAGTCTGGAAAACAATAAATAATATTAAGACCTGGACCTTAGTTTGGATTAGGAAAACAGAGAAGAAGTGCCTCTCAGTCACATAAACAGAGGAATAATTTAATCGCTCCTATTTCTATGTTACATATTCAGCTATAGTCGGCCTCATTAGTGAAGAACCCTAGTTATGGATGACAGCTTCTCTGACATCACATGCTGTTAAAACATCACAATTAATGCATACGGGTTCCGAACATGGGTCTCTCTTGATCCCCAATAACCAGCATCAGTATCGACACTGTTCTGATGCCTGATTCAGATTGGATGACGTGCTTTTGACTGATCCAGCTTCGTGCTTCGTCCACCACCGTTTTAAACCTTCTTCCTGAATGCACTTTAGAAATCGAGTGTTGCAGACATTCAGCTCTGAAACTCACCTCTGCTCCGTTGGCTTCCGTCAGATCTTGTGTGGCGTCGCTCAGTGGGGTCTCTGTGGTCAGAAACAAAAAACACACGTTGGTTCAAGTCGGAGGCTCGCGGTCACGTGATCGGACAGGAAGCGGAGCAAACAACAGACTTGGTCATCAGATTGTGACACCTGAGGGCTGAACCACGAAGCGAGACTAGTGGGTTAGCAGGTATGTTGAGCCTAAAGTCAGAGTCCTCAGAGTCACGAAGGTCTTTTAACCTGCTATATCACCATGGTAACTGATGCTGTGGCGCTAGATCGCCATGGTAACTGATGCTATGGAGCTATATCACCATGGTAACTGATGCTGTGGAGCTAGATCTCCACAGTAACTGTTGCTGTGGAGCTAGATCGCCACGGTAACTGTTGCTGTGGAGCTAGATCTCCACGGTAACTGATGCTGTGGAGGTAGATCTCCATGGTAACTGATGCTGTGGAGGTAGATCTCCACGGTAACTGATGCTGTGGAGCTAGATCTCCACGTTAATTGATGCTGTGGAGCTAGATCTCGACGGTAATGGATGCTGTGGCGCTAACCTGATCCAGGTTCTGTTCAGAGTTTTGGATTTAAATCAGCTGGAAGACGCGTCTCCCTTTAACCAGATCGTTTCCTGACAATTCTTTTTGAGCGATACAGATTCTCAGCTGATGTTTTATCTGCAAACATGCTGAGTTGTGTGTAAACTAAAACCACTGAATGAAGCCGTGCACTTACAGTATCGCACACTGGATGGATTACATTGCCATGGAAACCAGACGCGTCTTTAGTTGGCGATGCAGAAATCCCATAAATATGTTTTTATGTTTGGTCTGTTTACATGTTGGCACTGCAGCTGATAGAACACAGATTATTCTACTGGTATTTATCATAAAGAATATTCAATCAATAACATTAATTTCACTTTGAACTAAAGTGATTTCCAGCATTATGGGACAGTGTCAGACCTAAATGGACTTCAATACAAGATCAGGTATATGTAGTTTAAAGTTTAACAGCTCTAACGTGCAGCTGTCAGTGAGAAATAATCAGCTGCATCTATCAGTAAAATACATATTAACGCACATTTAACAGTTGTCTACCAGCATCTGCAGTCGCGGTGCTTTTTACTGTCATAAATGTTCTCCAATAGAACAATGTGTTGACTGAAGCAGCTGCACATGGTTGGTCCATTTTGTTAAAAGCCTCTTTTTATGTAAACAGTGTTTGTAGCAGCGAGTCTGAGTTGACTATGAAAGTTGAAAACCTCCTTCGTGATACCCGATATCTCTTCTGGACTGAGGTTCTAGTTTTTCTTGAGTCGACTCACAAGGAAAGCTAAAAATATCAAACTTGCCTCGTAGTTCAGCGTTCTGGAGGTAAAACTGAGCTGAGTGCATCCACTGCAGGTGTCACAGTCTAAACACTACATCTGGGTTTTGCTGAGCACCATTTTCCAAAACTTTGAGCATCAACATTATGGGATGCATCGCAGTTTGAACAGTAAACTGACACAGTCGTAGAAACAATCACTGGTACCCCAAGTTATTGTACATATACAGTCAGCTGATTCTGAGCAGGTCAGGTGGGAACTTTGGACTCTTTTACTGATTTAAAGTTAGAAAATCAACACGTTTGGTTCCGTGTGTGGAGGAGCAGACGGAGGCTCTAAATGATGAATGTGATTACCTGGACAAACCTCGCAGTCATCGACGTCCACCGGTCCTTCATCACCGTCGTTCTTCTCTTCTTCTTCTTCTTCCCGGTTTTCCGTCTCTCGTCGCTCCTCTTCCTCCTCCTCCTCTTCCTCGGCTGCTTCACTCGGTTTTTGACCTCTGAGTCTGAGGCCACGTCTGAAAACACAGTTTAAACTGAGAAATCTCATCCAAGAAAACAAACAAACATGTAAATTCAGATGTCTAAATGAGCCCCTTGTGTCTAAAATGAAAACGTATTGCGGCTTTAGTTGCTCTGAACTTCGAACACATCAAACTGCATTTGAATCTGATTTTACCGTCTGACCAGGCTGATCTCTGACACCTGGTGGCTGCTGCTGAGTTGTGCATCAAGTAGATTTAAAAACGAAAGCATGCAAACTGAAAAGCTCTCAGTGAGGTTTCTGATGGACAAAGTGGGACCAGCTGAAATACAAACAGCCTCAACAATCAGGTCGTTGTGTTTCAAATTCTAGCTCTTTAAATTTGCGTTACTTTTTTCATCGCTTCTGAGTCTCGTCACAGATTTGATTTATGTTGCAACACATTTTCAGAAACTTCACTCTCACACACACACAGACACTGAATCAGAGTCTGAGATGTTATATTTTAGATGCAGCAAACTCAAGCAGAAGATGGTTGCATCAAGTATTGATTTCATGTTCAGTTCTTTAGCTCCCACCTGACCTCCTCAGAACCAGCTGACTTTTGTACAATATTCATTTAATTCTGAATATTTTCAGACCCTTGAAGTACATCGCAGAGGGTCCACATTTCCAGATTTGTAATTTGATTTCCATCATTTCTGAGCCTCAGAACTTCATCAAACAGCAGATAGACACATGAACATGTTCAAGGCTAAAACCACATCTGAGTTCTGTTAAAACCTCAATAAATCAGTTTTACATCCATCCAGGTGTCACAGACTAACGACTGAATCTGTGTTTTGTTCTTTTCCTCCATAGCTAACTCTAAGCATCAGTATTATGGGATGTATCATAGTTTCAACAGTTTAATGACATAGAGACATAGAAATCGTTGGTACCCTGGATGTGTTTCTGGTTTCTGATCATTCACCAGAGAAAACTTAAAAAGTGCATTCTGGGTAAACTTTCAGGGCTCATACCAGCATGTGTGATGGTGGTTGGTCAGAACAAGTTCTAGACAATGGAAGGTCTCATTATGAGACACATTTGATACCAGGATCATCTAATAGACATAATTCCGTTTGTGGCAAAGTAACTGTTAAACAGAGGCACATTTTGCACTTCTAACAGCCCAAATGTGTTTTTCAGCCCTGAAAAGTTCACGCGTCTATCTCCTGTACTGATGAAGCAGCTTCATGACAAACTGAAGCAAAGGGAGAAAACACAAAAAGCAGAAAATGGGCTCTTGGTCGTTGATTCTTTCAAACCCGTCTCCGCAGAAGATTTACCTTTGAGGAGCGAGCTGTTGTGGCGCTTCGTCGAGCAACTCTGGTGACGGAGACTTCTAAAGGTGAAAAAAAAATAAAATGAAATCATGCTTGTTCAAATTTCTTCACCTCTGATTGCAAAGATAAGAAAAAAGTCACAGTAAAAAAACTCATTGTGAGAAATCAGGAAGAAATCCTGCTGCATTCTGAGCAGTGAACACACACCACGTTAGTTGTATTTGACCTCTGTAACTGCTTTATGCACATCTGGGGCTTAATGCAGCTGTTGCATTACAGGTACACAACAGCAGACGGTACCTCTGGCTGTGGCAGGACGGCCTCCCCCCACTCGGCCTTTCTCAGCAAACACCTCTGAGCCTGTTTCAGACTCTTCTCATAAACTTCCATCTGAGCCAGGATCACCTGAGAGCAGGAGACACGTGGACAAAGTGCATTTATTTGAATGAAGAACTCAGTACTTATTATACGTGATCTTGACATGTGGAACTGTTTGTTAAAAAAAACAGAAATTATAGATTTGTGTTGAGGAATTTAGTGGAACGACATTTTACATATAATATTTGAGGACTTTCAGCTTTTCTTTGATTTTACTTGACGTTTTCTGTAATTTAACAAATTGGGAAAAATCTGTAAAATAACAGCAATAAAATTATTTACCTTTTTAACATCTGTAATATACAGAATTTTCTTTTATAGGTAAATATCTGCAAAATACTGATATTTGATGCTGATTTAAATACAGTAAAAACAGTGTAAATCTACGATCAGACGCTGGAAGAGAACAAAATAATATTTCTAAAAGTATTTCTTTTGATGGTGATGTCATTTACAGTTTTTAATTTATTTTTTTAAATGTTATTTCTATTTTTTATTTTTATTTTTTACAGTTAACTATAAATTAATAGTTTTTCTGTGAATTTATTTCTGTAAAATTAAAGTCCCAAAAAATTACTGACCATTTTTCAGGCCTTAATTATTATTGTTGTTGTTGTTGTTGTTGTTATTATTATTATTATCTGCAATTTAACAACACAGGGAAATTCTGTAAAAAAAAGTTTTAAAAAAAAATCATTTCTTACAATTTTTCAGGCCTTAATAAACATAAATTTTCTTTCCAATAACAGCAAACATCCGTAAAATAACAACATATTTAGCTGATTTAAATACAGTAAAAAACAGTGTAAATGTACCATCAAATGTTGTAAAAGAACAAATTAATATTTCTAAAAATACAGATTTTTTAGATTTTTTACAGGTTTACAGTTAACATGTATATTTTTTTTTACTAGCTATAATCTGTAATTTAACAAAACAGGGAAATTCTGTCAAATAACAGATAATTGTAGAAAGCATAAATTATTTTTACAGTTTGGTTTGCAGACTTTCATTGATGCCGTTGAACGTTAATCTATCACTTATTCTATTTGACTCTGATCTGAAAGTGTTGAGCTCCTCATAGGATCACCTGAGTGTATCTGTCGGGGTCCAGGCCTCGGGGACAGAAGGGAACCCCCCAGTAGTAGTGAACCGCCTGCCCGCCTGCAGGATCCCCAGACGGGGGCGCCGTCCTGCCAGCTGCCCCCCGGCCGGTACAAGAAGAAGCAGCAGCTGTTCTGTCGGAGCTGCTCTGACGACATCTCTGAGGATTCAAGCTGGAAACGGAGAACAAGCAATTAAAATTCACATGCAAGCATCAAATCAGTATTACTCTTAGAAAGAATCCTAACTGGCGACCATTTTTCAAGATGGCCGACTCTGGCGCCATATCTTCGGATAGCCTTTTAACTTCAGTTTTTATCACGTTAACGTCGTCTTTTACATGTTTTCTTTTAACAACAGAAAACTTCTATGACTCTTTTAAGTCTCAATAATTCAAAATTGCAAAGAAACCACAAATATCTTTAAACAACATTAAGTTAAACTAATTACTTCAGGCTTTGAGTTAAGCAAGTAATTCAGGTTTGAATCAACAAGATTTTACTGTCGTTAGAAAAGTAAATACGATGCTTGTTTTGCCACCAGTTTGATTCTATCTATATATTAGCTGCACACATTAGCGTCTCAAACTGGGAGTTAGGTCTCTTTAAAAACACAATATTTTTATTTTATAACATAAAAAACAAGAGAAACACGTTCAGGAAGTCGAGACCAAAGAATGTTTTCAGTGAAATGACGTTCAAACAAATTCTATCAAGTTTGTTGATTATGTCGGGACGATACAAAACCTGAGAACATATCTGTGCATGTAAGTCAGTGATTACTATCTGTTAGCTGCACGCATTAGCTTATGTATTATTTATAATAAACAGAATTATTATTACTACTTTGAGTTTAAGTCTAATGATATTATGTCCAGACAACAAGCTGCAGTGAGGAGTCTGCTTTTCCAAGACAATAAAAACGTTAAAATGGAGGAAGGAGATGTGAAAGGTGAAGAAAGATCTCATCATAGAGCTGATTTCATTATGACGCTACCTCAACTTGAATTAAAATCGCAGGAATTTAAGCTTAAACTACGCACATTATAAAATTAATGCAGCTTAAAGGGATATTTAAATGTGCAAATTAGATTTTGAGGTTTTGCAGCTGTTTGATTTCTCTACCTGCGGTTGGTCTGTGAAGAATCAGCATCCAGGTGGCTCAGGGAGGCCGTCTGGCTCTCTGCCCGATGACGAGGCCTTTCCTCTGGGAAGACCGGGCTGGGAGAGCCTCCCGCCTGCTGCAGCACGGGGAGGAGGGAAAAAAAAACAAATTCCTGATTAAAACACATTTTAAACATCACATCATATGTTTCTGAACAATCCAGCATCAAATGAGATCAATCTTGTGGAAAAAGCAGCAAACTAAGATCAAGTCGGAGAGTTTTTGTGGATTTAAAGGATCAAATTGAATAAATATCATCATGAAACTCCTCCAGTTGATTACTCACAATCAGACAAATACTTTTTGTGTTACAAGCTTTCTGAAATTTTGCTTACGTATGCAAATAAGTTGTTCTATTATCTCAATAACGCACTGATTTTCATTAAGAAATCTCATTATTTGACTAAAACCAACTTCAAGAAAAACTTCAGGAGAGAATTTTGTTTTTAAATCGCTCAGAAAATACAGTCAACACCCAGAAAGAAAACATGTTTCAGGCATAAAATGTTGTATAAATCAGACTGTGAACAATAGATGGGAAGAAAGAATTAGTCAGAAAACAGACAAGAAGAAAAACCTCAAACTCTGATGCATGAGGATGATGCTGAAGTTGAGATTTTTTGCTCAGAGTTGGAGAAAAAACGAATTTTGAGAAAAAACATGCGTGATCTAAATCTTATCTAAACGTGTATTTTGGGTGTTTTTTTCTTCAAAATGCCTAAAAATGTCACATTAACACACAAATGAAGCAGCTTGTTTCTGAATTTCAATCATTTTAACCAGAATTTTTAACAAATGTCACTGATTCCACATTTATTCTCCTTTGAGTTTATTTATTGGTTTTGAAAGGGAAATAAAGAGAAATAAAGACGGAGACGATTAAAACTGTTTGTTCCATCTGTTGATCTAAGAATAATAAGTAAATAATCAAGATTACTGATTTATTCGTTAACTTGGTTTGGTTATTTACTGCCCAGCTTCTCATTTAACATTTTAAATTCAATATCTAATCAACTGTCAACCTCAGTTGTTTGTTTCTTGCAGCTACATGTAGACAATCACCGTGTTGTTTGACCGTATATCGTCCAAAACTCTACTTAGAAGGTTGTGTTTGTTTTTTAAATGAATAAAACTTGAGTGTGTTCTGCAAGGTGGCTCGGTGGTTAGCACTGTGGCCTCGCAGCTAGAAGGTTGCCGGTTCACGTCCCGGTGAGGACACCCGGGATCTTTCTGCGTGGAGTCTCCATGTTCTCCCCGTGCAGCGTGGGTTCTCTCCGGGTTCTCCGGCTTCCTCCCACACAGTCCAAAAACATGTTGAGGTTAATTGTTGATTCTAAATTGTCCGTAGGTGTGAATGTGAGTGTGCTTGGTTGTCTGTCTCTAAGTGTAGCCCTGTGATAGACTGGTTACCTGTCCAGGTGAACCTGCCTTCACCCTGAGTCAGCTGGGATAGACTCCAGCCCCCCGTGACCCTAGTGAGGATTAAGCGGTGTATAGATGATGGATGGATTACTGTGTTCTGTACCGTGGCGTCGTCGTCGTCCTCGTCGGACCAGACCAGCGTCATGTCGCTGGTCAGCTCCGGCTCAGAGCAGTTCCACTCTTTGGGTTTCTCGTTCAGCTCGTCTGCATCGCGTGAAAGCAGAAAAAAAAGAAAAACTGCTGAGAATCACACCTTGATTTATTTATTTTTGGCCTTTTTGCCTTTAGTTGATGGTGCAGTCAGGATAGAGACAGGAAAGAGGGGAGAAGAGTCTGCGGAAAAGGGCCATGAGTGGGATTCAAACTCATGACCTCTGTGGTGGGGACTGCAGCCCCTGGACACGGGACGCCTGCTCAACCAGGTGAGCTACAGCGCCGCCTTAAAATTGCTCATGGAGGCGACGGAAAAATGGTTTTAACTGTACCTGAGCGGGACGACGGGGAGGTGGCGTCCAAGCCGTCGACTCGACTGCCGCCGCCGTCGTTTGCGTCCTGCATTCAAGAGCAGAAGAGGAGAAATAAATCATGTGTCATAAATTACACAACAATAACATTAACAAATAGGGATGCACGATATGTCGGCGACCACATCGGTATCGGTCCACTGAACAAATGTAGCCGATGTGAAAAATCGATGATTGTCTAACATCAGCGCCTTCGTCTCTACATCTGATGTCGCTGCTATTTCACAGATGTTTCTATTTAAATGGCCTGCACTTGAATGTTAAATATGTTAAAACATGTTTTGCTTTTGTTACATGATAAAGAAGACTGTGTGGTCTAATTTGGGCTTCTTTGAATCGTTTTCTCACAGTGCTTACTTATACTCATTTCAAAATTGAACATCGACATCGGTAATATCGGCTATCTGCGATATCAGAAATCTTTATATCGGTATCACCCAGAAATTTTAATATCGTGCATCACTAATAATAAATTTTACTTCCTTCAAAACTGGGGTTACAAAGTGCCTCATAAAGCAATAAAACACACAATACAGAGATGAAGACAGTAAATAAAATCGTTCAACCTAAAAACGCTTTTGAGTAAATCTGAGAAAACGTCAATTTAACAAAAGTTAAGATTTAATGCCATCTGAATCCCTAAATCTGCCAGAATCTCACCATCGATCAGAAGAAGAAGAAACTTCAAAAAGCATTCAGGATCGACAGATGATTTTTAACTAAACGTCTGCGCTGCTCCGTCACAAAACTAATTTCAGCCGAAATCACTTTATTCTACGTGTTCTGTTTAAAAATGTCTCAAAAATTAACTGTTTGCTTGAAACAGATTCTGTAAAAAACTAAAAATTCTGCGTTCCTCGGTTCGACCGTGAACGACTCCACAGCGACCAACAGACACGTGACAAAAAATCAGGATGTATTTGACTGAAGGATGGAGACAAACTGAAGATGTGAACAGTTTAACACCTATAACGTGTAGAGCCACAGTTCTTTATTTTTTACAGTATTGATGACACCAGTGGAAACTTGTTTTAAATGCTGACTGCAGGTTTCTTTTAATTTTTTGGAAAAACAAATGCCTCCAAGAAATCTTTTGTTGTTTCTTTTATATTATTTATGTTTTTCTAACAGAAGACGTTTCTGAGTATCTCTCCTTCTCGTCGCGGTCGTTTTGTTTCCACAGAGCTGCAGGACTTCAGATCACAGAATCTGAATCAACGACATGATGAGACGTAACGGTAAAAACGTCAGGCTTTCATCTTTATCAGCTTCTGAGATGTTGTGATTGAAGGACTTTAAATCTCAATGTTTGTTTAAAAAAACCTGCTGACAGTAAATTTAAATTTAAATATCCATCGTTTAGGATTTTACAATAAATCATCATTTTTATTTAATCTTTAAGGTGGAAAAGAAACAAAGAAACGACCGTTTGTGCTAAAACCATGACTCGTGTCAATATAAAAGCTTCATGTTATGCATTCTATATGTATATTTATTTATTTTGCATGCTGTTCGGACCCCAATAGAAAAGAACCGAAGCTCGGCCCGTCAGCTGATTGATGAGCACCTGTGCAGGTGAGTGGGCGGAGCCTATAAATGCAGGTCCTTTGTTCAGCTCGCTCTCTCTGCTGCTCTTCGTCATTCACCATCACAACAAGGTAAAACCTCTGAATTAGAGCTGAAGTCGTTTATTCTCACCTTGGTTTTGAGCTTTGGACTTAATTTTCAGCTGAATTTACTTTGAGACCATTTCTTGGATACCAGCTGTTTTTTTTTTTTGTGGCTCATCACTTTTGCAGCTTTCAGTGATTCAACGTGAGCCTTTTTATTCAACTCATTCTTGTGTTTTTGGGGAGTTTCTGTCATTGTTCGCTCGGCTGGAGTCCGTTAGCATGAGTTCTGCTGTTCTCATGGTCGGTGCACCTTCAGACTGACGTCTAACAATCTGACTAAATGTTTTTCAGCTGTGCTCGGAGGCTGGAGCTGAGTAAACGCGGTGCAGAACGAGGCGTCCGTACGGTATTTAAAATGTTTTATCTTGTTTTAAAGTGAGAATAAATCAGCAAATTAGATAAGCAGAATTTAAACCCGTAGTCACACGTTTTGCACCAGCAGCTCCTGGCTGTGCTGTTGTGAAGCCCTTTGTAGCTTCACCTTTGAAATGTGAAGTATAAACGAAGGTTAGTGTTGCTGAAATACCATAAACAGTGGCGGATGTTGGGTTTATTTAAGCCATTTGTTTCATTTAAGCTTTTTCCCCCCCTTTGCTTGGACTTTAGGAATTATTTAAGACTTATTTTTACTACATGTGCAGCTTTTAGACAATTTATTCTTGTAGTTTTTTTGGCAAATGAAGGTTATTATTGCTGAAACAACATAAAGTACATGTTAAGATCTGAGTTCAGGTTTATGTAAACTTTTTTTTTTCCCCCTTATCTTGGATTTAAGAGGGAAAGAGGTTATAATTGTATTTGAAATGTTTGATCTTGTTTGAAGTGAGAATAAATCAGCTGCAGGAGTTTGTTAAAGTGGAGGGTTGGAGTGCAAAACGAAAGACAAAACCAAGTCTGAACTCCAACAAATGTTCCTCTGACTGACATAATAATAAATCATCAGCAGGTTCAAACTCTTTGACATCCAGATTTATATTCTGGGATGTAATCTGAGATATTTAATCGTTTTATGAGAACAAAACCAGTTCCTCTTTGTGGTCTCAATAATCCTGGTTTGCAACGTGTTACATAAACCTGGTTTCTGACTCGTCTTGCAGGCTTGAAGTCAACTTTTCTTTCTTTTTTTGGAGAGAAAAATGAACGGCTTTATGGCATTTCTTGTCTGTTGCTCACTTGGTTTGGCTACAAATGTCGAAGCATTTTTCCCAAACTAGGAAACGTCACTGTTCAGTGAAGTCCTTAGCATCTATTTCAGTCTCAGTTGTTGCATTTATTTATCATTTTATGTCGTTCATGTCTTAAGTTCTGGTTTGCATGAGTTTAATTGTAAAGCACTTTGCAGATTTGTTGGTGAAATACGCCACATAAATGTTTGTTGTAGCAGAAAATGTGGTGAAAGTAAAGATTTGTTGGCGTTTAAGGTTTTCCCTTAGATTGGTGAAAATTAAAAAAAACACCTTAAAGCAACTCTGACCATCGAAACCGAGTTGGAACTGAAGTGAATGATTAATTCCAGATTTAAATTCATTTTCACGTCGTTTGCTGTCATTCGCTGCTAAAATTTACTTTTTCGTTTGTACTCTTGATTCCTCTAGAAGTAAACTCCTCTCCTCCTTCGACCAAACTGCTTTTATTTATTTTTTTACGACCTGGTCTCCGTGGAAACTGCAGAACTTCACTGCTGTAAAATCTTTTAATGCAGTAATTCTGACGGCTCATTAATATTTTTGCCCATATTTTATTCATCTTCTCACAGATGACTAAATAAAATTTCCCAACATTTTCATAAATTATTCGGCCATTTTAATATTTCCAAAAAATTTTCAGATATTTTATTAATAATTTTGTACATTTTAATAATTTCAGATGTTTTACTTCTGACGCATTAATAAAGTTTTCTTCCATCTTAACATTTTTTCCTTTTTAATATTTTCAGACGTACTATAATTCTGACAGATGAATATTTCTGAACATTTAATTTGTCATTTATATAAAATGTTGGACACTTTATTCATACAGATGAATAAAAATCTAACATTCTGATAAAATGTTTGGGCATTTTCATATTTATAGAACATTTTTAGACATTTTAATATTTTAAAAATATTTTCTGACATTTTATTATCTTCCACCAGATTTTCAGACTTTTTTTTTTCCATTTTGAAACCAGTTTTGGCGAGTTCTGACAATTTAACACTATTTTCAGACTTGAATATTTTTGAACATTTTATTTCTACTTTTTGACCTTTTAACAGGTTCTGGTCATTTTAATGTTATTTCGCCCTTATTTTACCTCTGAGCTTCTTCACCCTTACGCCTCATCAGCTGATCAGCTGCTCCTCCAGGTACCGAGGTCCAAGCGATCGCTCAGAGGACCAAGCTTCTCTGTTGCTGCTCCAAAATGTGGAACGGCCTCCTTTGCACATCAGGCAGGCCTCCCCACTGTCTGCTTTTAAAACCAACCTTAAAACCCACTTTTATTCACTGGCTTTTAACCCAGCACGAGACCTCGCTCTGTTTCAGGTGTTTTTATTTGTTCTATGTTGTTTTTATTTTGTTGTTTTTATGACCCCCCACCCCAATGCACAGCATTTAGTTTCAGCTGTGGCTGTTCTAAAGCACTCTATAAATAGAGTTGGTTTGATTTGAACATTTAAATGTTTCACAATATTTTAGATGTTTAACAGACCGGCAGGAAGAGATAAATGCTGCTACATGTGCAAAAACTTTATATTCATATTTTGCTTCTAATTTTAAAGAAGCGCCCTGCAGACAGGCTGCTGACGAACAGAGATGAAGCCGATGTTCATGTACGTTCAGCAGCATCATGTTTGTTCATGCTATGAGTGGAAGATGTGGATTCTTTATGGCTGAGGGCTGAACTCACCTCCCTGCTGACTGAAGGAGTCACACATTCTTCCTGCACATCACTGTGACCCTCCTGATGTCTGACTGTCCTGCCCAAGGCTGGGCTTCCAGACCGGCCTCGACTCTGCTCGGTCGGTCCCTGGTGGGGTTTTATGGGGTTCCCAGGAAGGCCGGGGCTTCTCGGGAACACCGGGCTCTTGGGCCTCACAGTGGAGGTTAAGCTTTCCTGAGAAGAGAATGCGAACCCTGAGTTTTCACATTTGGGGCTACAGGCGGAGACCTGGGGTTTGCAGGCACTTGGAGACGTCTCTCGCTGAGTATTTCTGCCGAAGACGGGGCTTTTGTCGGCCTCGGGGAAGACGGGGCTTTTATCGGCCTCGGGGAAGACGGGGCTTTTGTCGGCCTCGGGGAAGACGGGGCTTTTGTCGGCCTCGGGGAAGACGGGGCTTTTATCGGCCTCGGGGAAGACGGGGCTTTTATCGGCCTCGGGGAAGACGGGGCTTTTGGGGCACGTTGTGAGGTCGCTTTCGGGAAACGTCGGGCTCTTGGGCTGAGCAGGAATTTGAGTCGAGGCCCAGCTGTCCTGAGAGCACAACACGAAACCTGAGTTTCTGCAGGTGTCCAGCAGGTCCTGGGTCAGCCGGCTGACGTGAACTTTGGCTCTGCTGCCGGTCGAAGGGAAGACGGGGGATTTACGGAGCTGGCAGTCGTCGATCTGCGTCGAGTCGGAGCTCTGGAGGAAAAACACATTTGAATCAAATACTTTATTGATCCCCTGCTCATGTAAGTCGCTCCAATTCAAAGTCAAATAAACAGCATAGAATGTGTGAGTATAAACATGATGTAGGAAAATGAATACACAAAGAAATCTGACCTAAAAAATAAACACAAGTAGAAAAGTGTAAAATTATAAATGCAAGGACAAATACGACCTACAACTATAAACAGTTATCACAGAACTGATAGAACTGCGTTCCTGCAACTTTCATCACCTACAACCAGCAAAAAGTCAAATGATGGATGGACGGACCTGTGGAGAGTCCGGATGTGCTGACGGACACTCGGAGCTGCAGGGTGACGCCTGAGAGCAGATTTTCTGAGACAAGTCGGGCATCTCCGGCAGCGGACTCCCGGCTTTCCTCTTTCGCTTCTTATTCCAGTTGTTTTCATCTCCAGCTCCTGAGGACAGAGCGTGCTTTAAACCTTCGCTGGACGCTGAAAGGATTTAGTCTTTTTATGCTCAATGCGTCTGACTCACCCGAGTTCAGGTTCGTCTCCGGACCGACGGCGGCAGACTTCTTCCCGTTGGAGTACGAAAGCTTCCGTCGAGGGCAGAACCTGAGCGAAGCGTCGGCGAGCAGAGTTTGACTTTGGGAAGCCTGGCGTTCCTGAGACTGGTCGACCATCTGGGAAAGAAAAACGGGAAGCTTCTGTGATTCTGAGACATTGTCTTAATATTTTCCAAAATTTTAATTGAATTTTCTGACATTTTAATATTTTCTTGCATGTTAATTACTGAAATTTCATTATTTTCTGGTGTGTAACAAATTTCCAACAGGTCTAAATTGTATAATTCATCCTACATCCACCCAACCGGTCGAGGCAGATGGCCGTCCCTCCCTGAACCTGGTTCTGTCGGAGGTTTTCTTCCCCCTGAGGGGGTTTTCGGTTCCTTCCCACTGTTGCAGACCTCTTGCAGACTGCTGAAGCTTATAGGGAATCCCAATGTTTTGGATTGTTGGGTGTTTCTGCCTTTGTGAAGCGCTATGAGATGACTGTTGTTGTAAATATGTGCTATACAAATAAAACTGAATTGAAATTGAATTGTAAGCGTCTGACATTTTTGAAGTTTTGATTGTTTTGTTAACTTCTTATTCAATATTTTCTTGCATATTAACTTTATTAGAATATTTTCTAGCATTTATCATTTACCTACATTTTTAAGATGTCTTTGGTCATTTAAGAGTTTTACACATTTGTTAGTTTCTGACCTTTTTAATTGCATTTTTGGACAGTTAATAATTTTTTAGACATTTTCATGAAATTTTCCAACAAATGCAGTTAATATTTTCTTACATACTAATAACTGGCTTTAAGAACATTTACTGGCATTTTATTATTTTCAGACATTTCAATAATACTGTCTGACGTTTGAGCAGTTTTGAGCATTTTGTTAATTTTGCACATTTTAATTATATTACCAGACATCTTAGTATTTTTTAAAATATTTCAAAAATTTTCTTACATATTAAGACCCATCCAGACATTTCATCTATATTTTCAAACATTTAATAATTTTCAGGCCGTTCATTCAGTTTCTGACATACTATTTTATTGCCTGGATTTTAATGCTTTAACAGCATTAAAAATATATTTTATTATTTTCTAAAATGTTCTTAATTTGTCATTTTCAGGATTTTTAACATTTAAAAATATATTTTCCAAAGTTTTCGTAATGTATTCTGTCCTTTAAATAACATTTAGATGCAAACGAGGATCGCCTTGTGCAAAGAGCTCCGGCTGCTTTCAGAAACGCCACGTTCTTTTACACGAATCACGTTAAACATTTCAGTCTGACTGAAAGGAAACAGAAACGAGCTGCTGACACTCTGCAGCAGCACCAGACCCGATGTGCTGCATGTTGACCTTCACTCTGAAACAAACCGTAGTTCTCCTTCAACTCACGCTCTCTTCGATGGCTTTCATCACGGCCTCTTCCTCCTGCCGCCGTCGCAGCGCCGTGACGCTGGCTTCCTGTTCGCTCAGACGCAACGCCAAGTCCATCATTTCCTCCTCCGTCATCTCTGGAAACGAAAACGGGTTCAAAAACTGACTTTAAAATTACTCAGCGAGGATGTCTCACCATGCTGGATGTATCGTCCAACAAGCTGCTCCTCTGTTCACCGTTTCTGAGTCGCGCTGCATTTATTTGATTGATCCAGTTTGGTTTGTTTTCCTCTCTGCTCTGTGGAAACACTGAGCGCTCGTCACAGCCGAGTCTGCACGTTTTTTTTTTTGTTTTGCTTTTTATAAGATCTGGTGCAAATGGATTAATTTGGCGACTTTTTAAATGTCGAATCAAATGATTTTGGTAAAATATCACAATTTTAAGCTGAGATTTGGTGATTTTTTTTTTCCAATCACGTCGCCCACGATTCTTTTTAGAGTTTCCGGATCCAATAAATGATGTAACTTTGGCATTTTAAAAATAAAGATGTCATGCTTTTTAAACCCGTCAGCAGCTTTTGGAGATTCAGTTACTTTTGCGTGCATGGCTTTAGTGTTTCTGTTAAAGACTATTTTTGCAAAAACAATGGAATCTTAAGTCAATAGTCTTGAACCAGACGTTTCCCTAATTTGATCCTTTGAGCCTGTAAAAAAAAAAAACAATGCCTCAGGTTTAGAGCTGCAGCTGCTCTTTCAGTCAAACTGAGTATCTAAAAAACCAAACACAGAATCATGTGTTTAAACGGTCACGGTTTCTGATCTTGCTCTCATTTGTTTGCCCCGACTTTGCTTTGTGCTTCTGTTTACCTTTGGATTTGTTCTCTCTCTCCCTCAAGCGGTGCTCTCGAGCTGACGACGCCGGCAGAAGTGATGCTGAAAGCTCGTCCTGAAAGAACAAAAAACAGGTAAAAGGTTTGAGGCAGTCGTTTCCTCGAGTTCACGAAAGCCTCAGTTAATGAAGGACTGGTAAGTTGTTTTTGCCATTTTTATTTATTTTTAAACACATTTACTCTCCGGTCCAAGCTGCTGTTTAAAACACGCTGGGCAGTAAATTCAGGACACATTGGAGAAAACCGTGATGAGAAATGAGGTTGATGTTTACGTTTCTTTACCGTATCATCTCTGTCGGTGGCAGCATCGTCTTCCTGGGTGTTTTCGTCTGTCTGCTGGCTCTCAGAATGGACGTCTTTGACTATCTGCTTCCTCAGAGACATCCTGCTCTGCTGACGGATACCTTCGACCGACAGAGATGCAAAAAAAAAACCCCACTGAAGCGTTACATGAAATTCAGCTCATCAACACTCAAATCCCTGCTGCTTTTCTGCCATATTCTAAAACGCACTTGTCCTCGTCGCACTTGATGGATTTTTGATATGTTTAGTAATACTACAGACAAAAATCTCTTTTCGAGCAGATTTATGGTGCGTTTCAGGACACGAAGCAGCAGGTGGCTGCCTGCTGGAGTCTGACTGGTGTGTGTGTTTAGTTTGAAACAAAAGGCATTTTTATTCAGCTTCTCTGAGTGAATCCTGAGCTACACCAGAGTGATCTGGCGTTTTTACTGACACAAGCTGGTGATTACAGGCAAAATTATAAAAATTATAGAATCCTTTGCTGCTGCTTTCAGAATCCTTTAATGTCATACCAAAAAAAAGTACGACGAAATTGGGCGCAATCCCATTCAGCGCAAAGAACAACTATAAACTAACAAACTGTGCAAGATAAAAACAAGACATTTGTAGAGCCTATAGACGTATATAATAAAAAGAAATAAGTGACAATAGGTATACAATGGATATAAAAATGAGTACAATAGCAGCGAGGAACAGCGGTACCTGAGGAATGCCTGTGGTGGATTACACCTGAGTGAATAGTGGTTATGGATTTGGGGAAAAACTGTTTTTTAGTCTGTTTTTTGTCCTGATGCACCTGTAGCACCTGCCTGAGGGCAACAGGTCAAACATATGGGACCCAGGATGTGAGCTGATTATGTTTTTTGCCCTACTGAGGCAGCGGGAGGTGTAAATGCCCATCAGTGAGGGCAGAGGGCAACCAACGGTCCTCTGTGCTGCTTTGATTACCCTCTGAAGCCTCCTCCTGTCTGCCTCGGTGCAGCTTCCATACCATACTGTAATACTGTACGTCAGCACACTTGTTCAGTTTCATGTGTAATATTATCGGACTTCTCAACATGTTCAGTTTCTAAGCCAGGTGCAGTAGCTTCACCCACGCCCGCTGATGGGGGGGACAAACGGGTCTGTTGTCCCGGGCCCAGAGTGGCAGGGGGGCCCAGAACTGGAGCCTCATTGAATTATGGATGTTTTTTTCCCCAAAGAAGGGCTATTAATGGAAAGAAACAGTGCAATATTTGAGTTGGAACTTTCAATTTGTTTTCGTCTGAACTGTCCTTAATATCTTTGGAGTTGCCCTCCACCCCCACCTCCAACATTAAATGGTTTGGCCCCTGATCAACGTTTGATGTCCTTTTATTGGAAGTTCGGATTTTGCACTTCAGCACCAAAATGTCCGCTCAGCAGAAGTCTGGTGCTCAGAAAAGGAAAAAGAGAGGAAGAAAATAGAGGCCTTAGAGATTTGCTTAAAAAAATACTTTAAAAAAGGTGGTGACAACGAAGCTGGAACTAGTAAAGTCAACATAGAGCGAGGTAAGAAACAGCGGAGCCAACGTTTGTCAGCCTTGTAACGTTATTTGGCTAGCTCTTAATATCCATTAGCTATGATTAAAATCCTGGTTTTTTCTAATATCATCTTGTCCCGGGCCCAGGGAAGGCTGTCAGCGGGCCTGGTTTCACCATCAGCACCATCACTGTCAGGTGCAACATTTCTGTGCAATATGTTTACTTTCAAGTCACTTTGTTTGTTTCTTGATGTTTAGCTCACATTTTTGTACTTATTTTATTTTCTTAGGCACCATTTCTTGGCATCCATTTAGACGCTATTCATTTTGTACTCGTATTTGATTTTCTATTTAATTACTAACCTTTCTGTAGTTGTGATATTTCTCTAACCTTTGTTCATTGTACCCTGACAAAGTAATTCCCTTCAGGATGAATAAAGTTGATCTCATCTCGTCTCCAATCAGAGGACTCGGTCTAAATCACAGCTCGTGTGTTCAGGAGCGTCTCTCTTCAGCCTCAGCAGCAGAAGCAGCCGCTTTACCTGCTGATGAAGACGGTCCTCTTCTTCCTCTCATCTGTCCGGCGGCACGACGTGTGTGGACCCGAACTAACTAAACTAAAAATCTGTGTTGAAGTAAAACAGAGCCGAGTGAGAACAGCGAAACGACTGGAGCGCACACACATACATGTATTTATCTATATGGACTTTTGCTGACTGTTGTTACTGAAAGTTAACGTTAGCTTACACAGGCGGTTGATATGGAACAAGCTGACCACTCGAGACACTAAAACCCGCAAATAAAGTTCTCGTTGTCGCTTTTCTGCTTAACCGACCGTAAAGTTTGAAAAGAAAAAAGTATTTGAACTGTTTTCGCGTTTACTTACTCAATAGCGACCGAAAACGACAGTGAACAAAACAATTCTCAGTTTAGAAACACTCACAGGTCGACTCTCCTCACTTTCGCGGCGCCATGTTTGTTTCTGTCCACGCAATCACGTGATCGTGACGTGAGCACGTCGCCGGCGCTGCCTTCACGGACCGTACGTTAATGTAGGAGCTGGATGAAGCCTTCACGGACCAGATGGATAGATAGATGTCAGTTTAGTTAAATAATTAATAGATAAATACATAGGTGATGTGGGATTTTTGTTTAAAAAAAAAGAAAAAAAAAAAGAATTAATGTAGTAAATACATGTTCACAAAAAGTAAGAGACAAGTGAAAATATTTTAAAATGCACTTCTACATTTCTGTTGATCTATATTTATTTATCTATATTTTGACGAATTTACGTATTTCTGCTTATTAACATTCAGTCCCGTATTTATGTGTCTGTATGCTCATGCAGTAGATTCCTACCTTTATCTGTGCATGTATCTACTTTGTTTTGTAAATCTTATTTTCGATCTGTATGCTCTTGCAATTCTTTTTTTTTTAATTTTTGTATTTGTTACAAAAATTATTTGATGATGTTTGTCTACGCATGTATTCATGTGACTGATTGTTTGTTTCTCTATTTA